TGTATCTTATCTGGATTTGATGCACAATTATATTTTTAATTTGAAATTGTTTCAATTAATTCTTCGCGGGTTACTGGTTCAAGAAATGTTGATTGTTCGACCAAGTATCATTTAGAAAATTATCAGGTAAGTCAATTTTAGGAATTTCTTATAACAAGTGAATGGAAATTCTTTTTGCCGAAGACAACCTGTACGAACATAATTTAAACACAAGACTTTAATGATAATTATACTTTAAGATGATAATAAAATGAGTAAAAGTATATAAACACCTATTCTATGGCTGCTCTACATTTTTTTAAACAAATTATATGTCCCGGCGCTTTCTATATATATGTTCAACAAATAACTCGATAATACGCGTTGTTAAAAGTTAAAACGGAAGGTTAAAAATATAATTAAATTCACATTATTAAATGAATATTAAGAGTGTAAAAAAAGATTTTAGTATGCATTAAACTGCACCATGAAATCTTTTTAATTAATTTTTATTTATGCTTCTGCATAATATACTTTTTTATGGTTAGAAAATACTAGTTAAGAGTATTTCATTTTAATTACAATATGATCACAAGTGACGATAAGTAATTTTATTGTTTAACTTAAATTACTACGTTTAAAAAATCGAATAAAGCAGATGCAGAAAAGGTTGTTCCTTTCATTAAGAAGTATCTAAAGGCAGCAGTTGCTTCAGGTTCATTGGTACAAACGAAAGGTAAAGGTGCGTCCGATTTTTTCCAGTTAGCTTCTGCAACATCTTCAGGTTCAGCTAAGCCTAGTTTTAACGAAAAAAAGAAGAGCGCCAGAGGAAAAACTAAAAAAACTATGACAGTAAAACGTAGTATAACAATAAAAAGCAGCTAAGAAATCAGCGAAATCAAAGAAAGCTCCGTCAGCAGAAAAGAAAGCCACCAAAGCGAAAAAAGATGATAAGAGAACTAGTACTTCAAAAATTTCCACATCAATTGCTTCACTTGGAAAAGTTAAGACTCCAACAAAGGCCAAAAAGTCAAACAAAGGTAGTTCAACCAAGAAATTTAAAGCACCAAAAACTGCAAAAGCCGTCAGTTCTCCAAAAGCGAGAAAAGCAGCTTCCCACAAAAATAAGAAGTAAATAATTGACTGTTTACGTTACTTACGGTCTTTATATTTATTAATAATTACGACGTAAGCTATTGTTGCAAACAAATGGTCATTTTCAGGACCACAAATTCAACTTTTCGATTGAATTTGTCACAATATCCAAATAAATATCTGACATCTCCAAGGATGCACATTACTTTCCAGTAAAAAAGAAAAAAAGTAATTAATTATTCATTTAATCAATCAAAAAACATCATATAACCTATTTAAACTCTTTCGTTTATTTTAGACCGACATTTTCTCGGTTATTTTTTGTATAAAGATCTCCTATAAAGAGTGGAGTATAAGGCAGCTATTTTGAACATTTTTATGTCTGTTATATTATACGGACCACGGCAATATTTTTGGATGAAGAGCTTTTTTTTGTTAGCTAAGCAGTGGCATAGTAGCGAGGGTCAAAAATCCAAGGGGACGAAGCTTTTCTGAAGCGTCCAGATCTCTGTTTGAACTAGGGGGCCCAAAATGCTCTAAACGCAAAAGGTGGGGGGAGGATGGCATCCTCTCTGTTCCCCTATACGCTACGCCACTGAAACAAAGGTCAGTAATAGTCCTTATTATAGTAATTGGTAGATGTAATATTTTTCGAGAATTAAACCACAAACAAAAGAAAAATGATGCGTGCAAATTATGTTGCAAACCAGTTTGTAGTGAACACTGTATATCAAATTTTATATCAAAAATGAAACCAATAAATCTACAAATAAATACAGACGTGTCCACCACAACGGTCTCTTTAATCGTAGCGTATAGTGAACAATTTAAAATATCATACCCAGTTTCGAATTCAAATTGGGTACCAACCATAATAGTTCATTAAAACTGAACTCTGACGTCAAAATCATCGCCTTCTATCTATTTATCTGAATTAGGGCATGGTTAAAAGTTCACTTGTACTGAAGCTCTAGGCTTATTGTACCCCTCACAGTTTCTATCCCATTAGACTGATTTTCTTGATGAATTCAAAAATATGTCTGATGGGCGCTTTCCCGATTTCTTCTAGTTTCGGATAGTGGCATAGTATGTGAATAGGAGTTTCGTCTTCCTTTTCACATATTCTACATAGGGAGTCATTAGATATCTCTTGAGAGATTTAGGTGTCTTCTAAGGTCGCAGTGTCCCGTAAGGAGTCCTATTACGGCCTTGAGTTCGCTTCTGCTAAGGTTTAGCAGTTGATTGTATGCTCGTGGATGGCCCCTCTATGAATCTTTTGGACTCTCTAAGTCCAGGAAGTTCCAATCAGAGCCTATGGTGTTCTCTATTTATTTGTTCCTTTAACACCCATTTAACATGTTGGTATGAGATACCTCATGTGGGTTCTGATCCAATAAGTTTTTTCCGCTCCCTTCTTTGCTAGGAGATTTGCTTTCTCGTTTCCAAACACTCCCTCATGTCCTGACACCCATTCAAGAGTGACCTTGTTATGTTCTGCCAGGGCTTGGAAGGATTGTTGGCAATCAAGTATTGATTTAGATTGTACTTCAGTCAGGCAACCCTTTTCAGTGCTTTAAGGGTTGCCTGACTGTCTATCATGATAAAGACTCTCTTATCTCTAAAAAAGTCATTTAACATGACTTGGGCGCAAGCATTTATTGCTATTACTTCAGCCTGGAAGACTGTTGTCAGTGACCCCAGGTTCAGACTAATTGTCCTCCCTGAGTTCACATGGTAGATCCAAGCTTCTGTGCTGTTTTTCATTTTCGTACCGTCTATATACCAGATTAATTCGTTTTGTTTTTCCCTATTTTCCCGGCTTACATAGATCCCTTGATTTTCTCGAAAATTCGATGTTTCCAAACACGGAATGAAAATATGGAAATATCGACAGTGTACAAATTTCAAATGTCCTTTCTTCTTTTTATAAAGTTTGCCAAATTGACTGTAGTAAGTTCTGTATGTACGTGGGAGGTGAACGCTCCTCTTCTTCACCAAGAGACTGAATTTTTCAAAAAGATGATCATGGGGAAACTTCAACAACCATCCAGTATGTGTTTCCCCTCTCTGTTAAAGGAAGTGGTCTACAGCGATTCGTTCACAAGGCTCTTTGGAAAGGTACTGGCTATTTTATCTAGGCTTCTAGTTTTAAGTCCTTTTTTGCCATTGCACAAATCACATTTAGTACACCAATCTTCTACAGCACGTCAAAAATAGACCCAATAAAAACTTTCCCGCACTCACACCAGTGTTTTTTTAGTACCAATATATTCCTAAGCAGCTGCTATGATGCTTCTCCAACACACTTCTGAAATGTGATTTTGGCAGTACCAATTGGTGGACTATATGTACTTCATCGCGGTTCTCCTACTTTTGATGCAATAGGCTATCGTAAAGATACAGGGACTCCCAATGAGTCCAGTACCCTATTATAGTTCCACTCTATTTAGCTGTCTCTTGCCTAGTACGTCTGACTCCATTTTTGAGCCATTCTCGGGTACCCTTCAAGTCATTGTCGTTCTTTTGACTCTTTTTTAAGCCTTTAAGGGTGAATTTGTCTTCGTCACCCTCTGGCTTGATAGTGATTTCCTGAAGACTAACTTCTTCAATCGGTCACTCTCGTTCTTCGAGCTTTTTACAGTACCCGGCATCGTTGTTCTAAAGAAAGTCAACTGGAAAGTTTTTATGCGCTGCTATGGAGACGCAGCCTCTTCGATGCACCATCTCGAAGTTACATTGTTGCAGTCCTTCTATCCATCTAGCAACTTGTCCTTTAGGTTTTTTAAAATTTATCATTATTTTTCTTCTGACATTCAATTTGATTAATCACCAATAATAGTTTTTTTTTTTTTGGTTGCTTTTTCTAGAAGTTCTTTTTTGTTTCGCAAAGTGTACCTAGCATCATAATCGTTAAGCATTGTCACTTTAATCATTCTATGAAACATTTTATTGATCTTTCCAACATGGGAGAATGTAACCAAGTTCTGGTTATATTTCACAGTTTGCAAAATTTCTTGGACATTAGAATTATCATAATCTTTTACAGTTTGGATATTAGAATGTAACCAGGTTCTGGTCACATTCCACAGCTTGCAAAATTTCTTGGACAATAGAATTATCACAGTTTGGATATCTTTTTTTATAAAAACGTTTCTCATACTTTTAAAGTGATCAACTGTTTTATTTGCAATTTTAGTACAAAAACATCACAGATTCCGAAAATGATTTTATATTTTTCATTCTTTGTCCAATTTAAGAAAGATTAATACGCCGACACATACATTTTTCTAGCGAAAATTTAGTGATGTAATTTCAGCAGTTTTTGTCACTTTTGGTGAAGTTTAAGAAATTTCATTTCCATTTTCTGAATCCATTTTTGTTTCTTTGTTTTAAGTAAAATATTTTACAAATTATTTCGTAGTAAAGATTTGTTTCAATTATTATGAATTTTAGATGACATATATAACATATTGGAAGACTAGTGATGAAAAGTAGTGAATAAAGATTATTTATTGCTAATAATGCATAATATAAAGTATTTTAAGTGAGAAAACTAATAAAAAATTGGTAATTTTAAAACTATCGTAGACAAAAATAATAATATAGGATAGAAATGCCTTTTTTGTTCAAATAATAAACACAAAAATCAATAATACCCACCAATAAGTAATTGATAAGGAAATAATAGACAGTTTCAATTATTATAAAAAGTAAAAAAAAAAAACGTAAATACACCCACAAATCTTTTCCGCCTCATAATTTTTTACTATTTTATTAAATTTCCCGACAATCGAGCAATAAAAGGAAGAAGAAGTGCCTCAAAGTTCAACGACACCGCCCCGCACATGAAGACTCAAGATGTCGTATAAAAGACGAAACACTGACCTATTTGTTCAGTTTCATACTATGACTCGCACATAACAGAATTTTAAACTATTGCACTGAATGACAGTTGTTAGAAACGCGTGTTTACAGGTGCCCGAATGGTGATAGAAAAATTCAAGTTCATGTCATCCGCAAAATATTTGGATTTTTGATTTATATGCTATGATGAAGGTTTGTAAACATGTAGCTTTTAAAAAAATATATGGTTTGGTTTATGAAAGTGGTGTTGATACAATATGCATTTTAGTTTCTTTTGGAGGGGTTCCACAAGGGTTATACCTCGACTCTTTCAACGATTAACGTTCTAAACGATGTATTTAAATCACAATATTATTCGCGGTAATTGATATTGTTCAAATTGCACTGTTATATAAAACAAAAAATATAAATAGAACTATATTTATATCTGAAAGTTCCAAGAAATAATAATTACATTGACAGGGAGAACTGGAACCCTTTGTATAATTTAAATAACATACTGCTGGGTCAATTGACAGTAATGTATAAAATTAAAAACATTGGAAATATTAATATCCTTTTATTTATAAAAAAAATGGTTTTTTTAAATCTGCATTTATTTACTTTTATTTATTTATTTATTTATTTATTATAATATCCTTTTGACAATAATTTACATTGTATAGATTTCATCAGTATTGTAACAAAAATAAAAAATTACAAATTCTTAATGAAGAAGTCAGTAAAATTCATTTAAACTATACAGGGTTGGGGAAAATTAGTGGAACACCCGATTTGAGATTCAATTATGGATTGTACGCAGATTTATAAATAGGGAAAATATTATAAAAATCAATTAAACAGTAATACAAAAACTTTGGTAGGTATTTCTATAAAATATGTACAAAAATTGTATTAATAAAACTGAGTGATTAATATTGAGATGTCAATATGTGTTAAAAGTTATGGGTATGTGGGTAGCAATATTATTATTAAATACAAATTCAGTGAATTAACTAACAGGATAAACTGATTGATCTAGGGTTATTTTATTTTTGGTCCTTGTAAGTTTTATACCAAAAAATAACTTAATTTCATTTAAGTCAACATTTAGTCTGCTAAGGTATTTTCATCTATCGATGAAATTACCATGTCATCCACAGAATGACATAAATGTTTATGCTTATATTGTTATTGTCCAGAACATATAAACAAGAATCTACTTTAGAACTTTTAAATTGTATATCCTTGAGAGCAGTCGCAACTCTTGTTAATTTAAAAAGGGTGTTCACTTTTTTAATAATTTTATCGTTTGTAAGTTCAGTTCAAAACTTTGTACAAGGGCCAATATGGCTGTTTTTTTTATTTGGATTTATATTTACGATCAATTTTTACTGGTTATAATGATTTGTATTCTTTGATAAAGAAAAAATAGTATGATGTACTGATGGTTTCTGAAACGTGGTTATCGGATAGAATAGATGTAAATTTGATTAATATGCCAGGCTATTATTTCATAAATAATAACCGTAATACGGAAAAAGAAAGTTTTTCTGATCTTAGGATAATCAGTATATTACCATCATTTTCTAAAATTTTTGAGCGCATTATCTACAACCAAATGTGCTCTTATTTTACCTCCAATAATTTAATTTCTGATAAACAAAGTGGCTTTAGGCGTGATTTCTCTACTGGAACAGCATTATCAGTTGTTACTAATGATATATTAACGGCTCTAGATAAAGGTCTTAACTCGGCTTTAGTTTTATTAGTGTTTTCTAAAGCTTTTGATACTATTAATCATGAATTAATTTGTGCTAAATTGAAATATTTTGGTTTCTCTAATAAATCATTACAGTTTAATAGAACCTAAGTATGGAGTTTAATAGCAAATTAAGAGGCCGCGTGATTAACAGTCAATCTCGCGAAATAATAGCCAATGTTATAGAGTTTATGAGAAGAGAAGGAAACTTTAATTCACCTTCAATACCATTTAAAAATGTAAATGATCGTGTTGCTGCAGCCACAAGAGTATCTAAAAACACTGTCGTCCGCATTTCTGGAGAGAAAAAAAGAATCGATAACCGTGAGATATCGGAATTTTCATCACCAAGAAAAACCATTAAAAAACCAAAAACAGTTAATGATATAGATGAAGCTGCACAAGAATCAAATTTTATTTTTTTATTATTAGATAGCTATTTTTGTTTCTGAGTTGTGTTCATTTACAGGCTCAATTTTTTTCCGTTTCTCCTTTTTGATTTTATATGGGGTTTCAAGTTGTTTTTGACTTATTTCGACGTAAATCACAACAACACACTTTTTTAATAAAGCAAACAAGTGTTAAGAGGTATATGTACGTGTAAACTACAATTACAAAAAATTGATATGAAACCCATGAAATCACCAACAAAAATGTAAAGCTAGCTTCCGTACTAGAACATGGTGTCATTCGTCGAGATAATTTATCGTTTTGTTTAATAGATCAAGAAATGTAAATGTTCCCCTGTTATTTTTTATAAAATTATAAGAGAAATAAATTTTTTTCTAAATAGTATAGTTTATTATTTTGTAGAAAAACAAAATTTCGAAAATTTTAGTAATGTTTCAGAAACAACCGTTATTAATAATAGGTACCGTTTTCCTTAATAAGGTAGAAATAAAATATAAACTATTTCCACGATTTACAAAGGCCTACAAAAAAAATATAAGTATTTTCCGCTATCCTATAAAATTTATATTTTCTGACTCAATTTCAAAAGGTTGAAGGAATTCCAAAACACCTTTTATGGCATAATAATTATTTTCAATTCTACATACTATCTTTAGCTGCTTTTAAAAACGTTCTAAGAAAGTCCAATCAGACCAATTTAATCCCTAAACTATTCCACACTTTTAAAATTTAATTACCTAAAAATATTAAAAACTATTTAAAATAACTTGTTCAGCAGACTGTACAATAGCTATCTTAGTCACACGTAGCGCGTTCTCTGTCTGGGCGTCGAACACCTCTAGAAATTTGATGAACTGTACACTGTTTTACACTAGCACTAACATTAACGTTCACTGCACTAGCTCAAATGGCTTCTTCCTTTTGAGCCTTCTGTTGAGTGTAGAGTTGTCCAGTAATTGCAGCGCTTCTTCGTTGACGTGGGAGTGCAGTCGACCCTCATGTTTCGCAGCAAACCTCTTTATTTCTTCTTCGATTGTTGGCATCTTCAGGTCTCTATGAAGATAATCGTTTCGGTAGAACCAATGTGCATCAACAATACATCTTAGGACTTTATTTTGGAAAACTTGAATCATGTTGATATTACTCTTGCTGGCACATCCCCATAGCTGTATGCCATAAATCCAGATTGGTTTTAGGATTTGTTTATCTAATGAACTATTAGAAATAGTAGATAATGCTAGAGATTTAGGTATTATTATTGATAATGATCTTCGTTTTTTGCGATCATAAAAATTTAATAAGAAAGGCTTATACTTCCCTAAGATTATTATACAGTAATCGCCATTTTCTTAATATTAGATTGAAAACTTTACTCTGCGAGACGCTTGTACTCAGTAACTTCAATTATTGTGACTTTATTTTTTGGCCTTGTTTATTACAGCTTGTAAAAAAAGAGGATCCAGGTTTTACAAAATTCTTGTTGTAGATTCATATTTTCTAATCAAAGAAAAGAACATATTTCGCATAAACTTGTTGAAAGTAAATGGCTAAATATGAAGACCTGTTTGAAACTCCATTTAGAAAATTATTTAAAGGGTAATCAGTGCCTCGAGGGTAAACTGCAGTTATTCTAGTCAACTTTTTACATATATTAATTATATTTCGACAAGAAATGCAGTTAGCCCCAACTATTGTCACAATATGTATTGTTACTAATAATCTAACTACATATTAAAAGTTTTAATATGCATGACTTGTTAGTTTTGGTAACATATTTCTATGTTCTGATAACAATTTTTCTATGATATAGTGTCATATACCTCCAACATGCATCTATAAATAGTACAACATAGTTCAGTTTACTTCCTAGGTACTGATATCGGTAAATATTTAATTAAGTCTCCATGATATAGGAACATACCTAACATAGACACTACTATTTAGTTTCTTGAATTAATTTAGCCAAGTACAATATTTATTTTTTATATCGTCTTTAATAAAAACTGTAATGTAAGTTTAACTTCTATTTTTTTGTCAATGCATGCGACACCATCATTCCAGTTAAATCCTCACCGCTACATCAGTATGACACTGTTTATCAGTAGATTGTAGATGTTAAGTTTAATAAATATGTCGAAGATATTATAACTTCATACCAGAGATAACAGAGATATAAAAAGTCATTCATAAAATATAATATTCATGGTGCCAAGAACAGTTCGCACTCAAAACATTCTATTTCTAGACGCGGGGCGAGGCGACGAAAGGTGAGAAGTAAAAGAAGGGATACAGTGAAGAATTTTACATAGTTTTATCAATGAATAACTGCCCGAGCTTTTACTACTTAACGTAACTTTTCTGGCTGGTGTAAGCCCTGTTGCCACTTCCAATCTAACATCACTAGGTTTTGGAATTTGTTGAAAATTATTACATCTAATTTAATGAAATTACATCTAATGTGGTTTTTGTTCTAATGCTCAATTAAGTCTTTGTAGGAAGTATTTTTTATAATTATTTAAAAAAAATCATTTACATTTGCCCTTATGATCGAAAAAAAATTTAAATGTCTCAGTTTCAACCGTCTACAAATTTGTATAAAAAATCTTCTTTTAGAAATATACCTCTCATTTGACGAAAAACGAAGGCCTAAATGAAAAAAAACTATTCTTTATAAAAGTTTCGCCTATGTATTGACAAGATAAAAGTACTTTCCTCATATTTGTTGCTTTTAAATTAACAAAAATATAGCAATAAACCATTAGTGATGTCATGGTTTTATTAGAAAGCAAACATTAAAGGCAGAGCCTATCGACTCTTTATGCTTAAGTGTAAAGGTTAAAGAAAAAGTCCTTTATTTCTCACAAGTCAATTTATTGGCGACCGGTTTCAAAGTTGTCACTTCATCATCAGGCACACCTAAATGGAATATCAAGGAGTCAGTTGTAATAAAAACAATTATAAAAGCATGAACGGACTTTAACATATACAAAATAACAGAAAAAACACAAAAGAAAGTTAAACAATAACCTTGACTCACCTT